GATAGATATAGATATCTAGATATAGATAGATATATATATATATATATATATATAGATATATCTATATCTCCTAATAAGGGTGCTGATGATCATTAATGCTTTCCCACTCTCATCTCTCTTTCTCTCCTTCCATTGTTTCCTTTCTTCCGTCTCCAGATCTTCTCTCTGGGCTACTGTCCGACAGGCGAGTGGCTGGCTGTGGGAATGGAGAGCAGTAACGTGGAAGTCCTGCACGTCTCCAAACCTGACAAGTACCAGCTGCACCTTCACGAGAGCTGCGTTCTTTCTCTCAAGTTCGCCTACTGCGGTATGTACACACCCACACACACACCCCCACTATAGACTATATTGACTATAAAAGCAGTACAAATCTCCTGCTTCTCATTATTCAGGAACTGTTTCTTCCTTTTCACCTCTCCCGTTCTTATAAAAGCAGCACCTCCTCTCCGGCTTCTCCATATCTCACCTCCCCTGAGGCTTTATCTTTTGATGCCTGTGTGTGTTTCGTCCTGTAGGTAAATGGTTTGTGAGCACAGGCAAAGATAACCTCCTGAATGCGTGGCGGACACCTTATGGATCCAGCATATTCCAGGTAGGCCATAAAACACTTCGGCTTTCTGCAAATGCAAGTTCTTTTTGTCAAGAATGTTTCTTTTTTCCTGCTTTTTCTTTTGTTTATATACTAGAGGGTTATTTTGGGATACAAATCCATCAGTTTTCACTTGAATAACACCCTTTTTTTTCTGCATCACTATTTGTACAAAACCATGATTCACTGACTATTTGTAGCTAACATGGCTTCCTCTCTGTCTCTGTGCTCAGTCTAAGGAGTCTTCGTCGGTTCTCAGCTGTGATATCTCCCCCGACGACCAGTTCATCGTCACCGGCTCCGGGGACAAGAAGGCCACAGTCTACGAAGTCATCTACTGAACTCTGATTGGCTGGGGGGAAAAAAACTAATAATCAGGGGGCGGGTCCAAGGCTCCCTCCTGCACCAATGACTGTACAGAGCGTCGGTGGCATGGAAAACAAGAGACACTCAACTCCTACTTTGTTGTTTTGTTTACGTTTGTGAAAGAAATAAGAGAGAAAGAGAAGCAAGGGGGCACAAAGTCACATCTCTGGAAAAAAAACAAACTTTGAACTTTGTTTAATGCTCTGAGAACGCTGGTTAGTCTATAGCTGCGCAATTGTGGATTCCTCCAAAGAACTTTTGTTTATGTTCCTTTTTTTTCCCTTTTTTAACAAAATAAAACCTCTGTAGTGAACAAGAAATTAGCAAAAAAAACTTATTTTTTTAGCCTTTGAATTTTTCGCAAACAGTTGGCCGGCATCAAGTGGAAAAAGACAGAGATGTGGGACTGAGGAAGTGTGGAAAGGTGGGGCTGGAAACTCTTAATGGAAAAATACGGTCCATATTCTGTGCTGTGTTTAAAAAAAAATAAATAAAAAAAAAAAAGGAAAAAAGGTCCCAGTCTGGGTCAGCTTGGCCCGGTTTGGCCTGGTCCAGTCCAGCTCAGTCTGCAGCACGTGGCTGCTCCTCGGGGCAGCAGATGCATGGCAGATGGCAGGATGGTGTGCTGTGAAGTTCCAGCTTTTTTTCTTTCTCCTGGTTAAGTTTCAGCAGCAACATGATTGTATCATCTCCAGTACATACATGACAGAACAGTGTCTTTGTTCCTTTTCATTAGAGTTTTGTTTTCTTTATAAAAGAACAAAGCCAGGCTTATTCTGGAAATGTTTTTTGGGAAACCAGCCTGGAACAGAAAACCACAACCCAGAGGACAGAAAACTGAAGGCGTTTCTAACAGCTCACAACAGGTACTCTCCAAGTTTCGGGGATGTGGCCTCTGCTACATTGTCATCCTCAACATTAAATGTTTTTTTTTCTATTGTATTTGTTAGGGCACATATAGGCAGACAGGTATTTTCACAACTGCATCATAAACCTTGAACCTTGCTATATATGGACATGTAAATAAAGTTCTCTAAAGGCAAACGAGGATCTGTGACTTGGGTTTGCTTTAAGAAAACTGATGAGAGTGTGGGGCAGTTTTTATCTGTGATCTGCAGTGTTTCAGTTGTGGTGGTGTATTTTATGAGCATCTTCTCTCCCAGAAAAACAGATTGAAACTGCTCCTCAAGGATCAATGCAGATGTGATGGTGTGAAGGGTAGAAATGAGGTAGATCGTGTGTGTGTGTGTGTTGCAACTACTGGCTGTCAAACTGTTTTTCAACCACAGAATCCAGTCAGGTTCTTGCCAGATTAAATTTGGATGTTTAAACCGGAAAAAAAAAATAATCAAAAGAAGTATTTGTTGAATATTTGTTTAAACCATAACTGCTAGAAAAGCGTGCACTCACAGTGAGGTGCCAGAAAGCATCGTAGAAATATTTGGATGGATGTGAATGGTGAGTACACACTCTGCCTCTGCTCTGTTGTGATGGAAATGTTTCTCTCTCACAAAGCTTCTCCTCTAGTCAATGTGTGCATACTCGCACATACAAGAAAGCGTCTTCAGATTCAAACCCACAGCATGAGAGAGTTCAGGATTCACAGCGCCTCTGTGACTGGAGCTCTGGGTAAATAATGCAGCCGTACGGTCGTGCGTGGCGAGACAAAGGTGATCTGCAGTACAGTAGGTTGAGGAATGGATTATTACAGCAATAATACCCAAGAGGGAGTTCTTCAGTGATTATGTGTAGTGGTGACTGCCCTGCCAAGACAAAAAGCTTTAACTGTAAGAGAAGTAAACCTGAGAAAAAAAATAATAAAGTAAAGCATCTCCTGTCCAGAGTAAAGGATTATTGGCGTACGTGTGGATAATATATCATTTAGCTTCAGTTAATTTCTTGTGGTGCAAGATTGAAACCATGGCTTTGACCGTGTGTCCTTTTTAAAATGCACAATACTGCTGAATTAAAGAAATGTATAGGAAATAAATTATTAAATAATTCTCATCTGACACTACCCACCAGATGAAGTCATTTTAGTCCCTGATTAAATTAAATGAATCTTTTCTGAGCGATGTTTTAGCAGGAGCGTCTCATTGGGACTTATTTACCCCACAAGATACTCCATTTCCATGGAGCAGGTTTCAAAATATGCAATGAATGGGAATCTCAGCTGCCAATTAAACAACAAAGCCTTTGAAGATAGTTGGCATGCCTGTTTTATGTATTTTAAATTTAGGCCCAACATGTCAGTATCTTTTTTAAAATTCTACACATATGGAAATGTATGTAAATGAGATCCAGTATCTCTGCTTTATTTGATGTGTGCAACTTTAGAGACGAGAAGAGACCTCCAACACTGGTCACACTCCCAATTGGTCAGATGTAACCCCATGTTTAATGATTTTTAATGTGTACTGTCAGTGTTGTGCAAAAACAATGAATCACCAATTTGCCTTTTTGTTACTGTGATGAAATGGACAATGTCCTCAGTTTGTCAGAATCATTGTGTAAACAAACTGCTGAGAGCTCTTGTAAATCCAGTTTTTGAAGGTTACTGAAACGTCTGACATTTTTCCAACTGTGCAGAAGGTTTATTTCCTCACCAGGAGTTGATGGGTGGGTGTTCAGGAAGAATTATGGATGAAAGGCTAGATGCGGAGAGAATAAAGTATTCCTCTTTGGTTATTTGGCTTTTTCCTTCAGCGTTTAAAATCTCAGGGGGGGGGCGGAATTAATCGACACAGCAGACACCTGAAAGGATGAACACAAGTTTGGTTTATTTTTCACACATAGTATTTCTTGTACAGCACATGGGAAACGCATCAGGAGGGAAGAAGACACAGAGCATTTAAAAAAAAAAGAAAAAAAGTTCCTTGGCTTTTTAAAAGAGAAACCAAACATGGACTTGTAAAACGGAAATAAAAACTTTTTATAGTGTTGGAACAGAGAAAGCACAGGCAGGGGGTAGAGACGTCACCAACAGTTAAAGTATCAAATACGATGTCCCAAATATTCACGCTATACCACCAAATGCATAGCCATTATACAGCATCATTCTGAGTAGTATACAAGCTTGTGTATGAGAATATCATTTAGGTCTGTCTGTCACTGACAGCCAGAAAGGAAAAGAGGCAGGCAAAGGCATTAAACTGTACAGATGATCTCTGACTCCTCACTGCTGGTACAGTAGCCATTGTAGAAGTCCCTCATAATTCTTCTATCCCCGCACTAGCACTGCAGCGAGAAACATGGATAAATCTTGCTAAAAGTTTATACAACTGAACTAAATTGCATACTTGTAATGTAAAATTCATCCCTTAGTAAAACTGTGGCTGCGAGACCATTCACTGCACTTATTGAATAACATCAGATTTGTCTCATTCTATCACCAGATGTGGAGCTTTAGTGCAACAAGCATGCAGTAAAAAGTGGGACCTCTTCGATGGCTAAATCTGTATCGTCCGACGCCTGCTGTACACTGACCACAGACTCAACAGAAACATAGTTTAGTTGCACAATAAGGACTGAAAACCAACTATAGTACATTTACTACCACTTTTGAAAAAAAGGGGGATAAAACAAAAACAACAAACAGAAGACAGAGGATCTTTTTCTATTTTTTTTTTCTTTACATGGGACTGCTGATGTTGTATGCCCTCTGCCTGTCACCATCACCAAGGATAAAAATACACTGATAAAAAAAAAGGTAAAAGAACAGAAATATTTTTTCCCCCTGTGTTCCACTTGATTTTGTATGTCTGCATGTGTGAGTGCATCCCTCTCTGTCTGCTCCCCCGAACCCGAAACGCAGTCATAGGCAACCCCCAATACATAAACATATAATTACATAAGACAAGCAATCACTATTCATAAAAAATACTGAAATAAATGAGTAATAAAAGAAAAGCTTGAAATGTGCCTTTTTAGTCTACACATTGGTGACGCATGTTCTATAGAAGCAGAGAGCTCTGATATACAGTTTGCCTGCCAGTCTGGAATATGATACAAGGAGGATTGAAAAGTAAGAATCGGGTTCACGGGAACACTTTGACGTTTTGGGAAATGTTCGCTTTCTTGTAGAGACCTAGATTGATACCACTCTCAGGTCTCTACAGTAAATATAAGACTATAGCCAGCTGCCGTTTAGCTTAGTGTTAAGCATAAAGACTGGAAAAAAGGGAAAGGGAACAAAATCCACCAACCAGCATCTCTTAAGATCACTCAGTAACAAGTTATATATTTTTTTTTCTCAATGTGTACCATAACTGAAATGTAAATTCTAAGAAACTAGCAGGCAAATTCAATCCAAGTTACTGCGTCGGACTGAGGAATAGTCCGACACATAACCCACTGTAAAACAGTGATTTCTCATTTTAACACTTGCTTTTGTGGGGATAAAAACAAGATGAGATATAATGTTTTAACTGCTGAGCTTCAGAGGTGCTGGTGTGCAGATTTTTTTACCTTGTTACCAATTCCTGTTTTCACTCTTTATGTTAAGCTAGGTTAGCAGGCTTCATACTTAACACGAGAGTGGTATCGATCGATCCTTTCATCTAAATCTCCCCAAAATGTGGAACTTTTCCATTAAGGTGTTTAGCATCTCAATTAATAGCAATCAATAGCTTATATTTAACCAGAGCACTTTGAACACTAGCACATCAGCAGGCAGGCAGAGATGGAGATAATGACTCTGATAAACATGTAATCTCATCCGGTTTGCAAATGAAAACAGCAACTAGTTGCATAAAATTTGAAAGGATTCGGATTAGTCGCTGTTTAGTTGGCTGCTGATGATAGCGTAATCGGTTGGTGTTAATTTGCCCTCTTGTCTGCCTTACAGTGAAGTTGGCGTACTGCTACTTCATCTAGCAGACAGTGCCTTTAATGAGAGTGAGTGCAGCGCCCGGTGTCAGGAGAACAATCCAGAGGAATTAGAGGGAACAGCTCGGCTGATGTTCTCTGTTTGTGTCTGTGGGCCCTGGGAGAATCCCATTGACTCCACTGCTCATTAGACGCTGCCTTTGTCAGACCAAAATAAAATAGATATTAAGCAGTGAGACGGGGAGTGCTGCGATGAATGTTTAATTGGGTGCTCTGTGTGTTGTGTGTGTGTGTTTCTGTCTTCCTACGATTACCTCAAGGGGGTGTATCCGAGTTTGTGTGTATTCTTGCCTGATGACGTGCGCCTGTGTGTGTGTGTGTGTGTTAGCAGGTCTATGTTTCATGTCAGTGTATGTGGATATCTGAAGCGGCCCCCTCCATCTCGGAGCGTCATCGTTCCCCAGCTCCTGACACCTCTCGCTGGGGAGAGCGAGCTGCGGCGTCAGCCTCATTAAGGCTTCCACTGTCTGGCTAATGAATCGATTGTGTGGTATCAGTGCTCCTGGCTGGCGCTCCCACAGTGCCGCTCCGCGCCTCCTCTGGGGGCCTCCCTTCCACTGAGCTCTTAATCAGGAAACAGCCCTAATTACCCTACCTCCCTCCTCCTCCTCCTCTTCCTCGCTGTCATTTCTCTTCCTTCTCGCTTTCTCTCCTCCTTCTCGTCTTTCCCTCCTTCGCTTCCCGACTTTATCTTTATGCTCCACCGCCCTTTTCCTTTGTCCTTCTTATCTTGCTGCTTCCCTTTCTGCCTTTCTCTGCTATCATGATTCATCCTTGGGCTAAATGTGGAAGGGGGGAGGAGGCAAAGGGGCATTTGGGAGCTTCCACTGTAGCTTATATCACAGCAAAAAGGGGGAGAGGGGGTGATGTATTAAGGGTAAGGGTCAGGAGGACTGAGACAGGGGTGCTTGCTGTTGCTGATGTAATGAGGATCAGGAGCAGTTGGCAGGGCAACTGGTTGCCCCTTCCCCTCATCCAAAAAAAAAAAAAAAAACCCCCACCCCAAAATCTCTGTCCTGTCTCCTCCCATCTCGTCCGAGCCCTCAGTACACCACCTCGTACACCGTGGCCTTCTTGTCCCCGGAGCCCGTCACTATGTACTTGTCGTCTGGGGAGACGTCACAGCTCAGCACAGACGAGGACTCCTTGGACTGGGAGCGGGTGAGAGACGCAGACACAAACCCGGGAGGGAGACAGAGAGCGAGATATGTGATGATAGATGGATGGAGACAGATGGAGAGAAACAAACACAAAGAGAAAGATGTTAGAAAAGATATGACTCATCACTTAATACTCAATCATATAAGACATATTTGCATTTCAAAACAGTCGGCAATTATTTCCAAACAGACAACTCCACAGCTCCAGGATGCTGACTCATTCGTCTGCTTCAATGTGAGACACGCTGCTCTGTTTCTCTGGAGAGATGCAGCCTCATTAACTGCAGGTTTAAGCGTCACCGGCAGCATAAGTCTGATGGTCTGCATGAACTGGCAAAATGCACAATCCTCTCTCCCCCCGTCTCCCCTTCTTCTGTCCTCTGTGTCTGAAAGCCAGACCTGGGCACCTGGCTTTAGATGATCTAAAGCTCCCACTGCTCCCCCTCCTCCTCTCCCTCCCACTGCTCCATCATCATTTATCTTCCTTCCTTTCTTCCCAGACTCTCCTCCTCTTCCCCCTCCATCCTCTTAGGCTCCCCTTTCACTCTGCCCCCCCCCACTCTCAAGTCGATCCCCCTCCCTTCTCCTCCGCTCCCTCCCTGCTACAAGCGCAGCAGGGCTGTCAATCATCAAGCCACCGGTGAGAGGCCATTTCACACAGGAACCCTCGTACTATACCGAGATAGGGTGGAGGCGGGAGATGCACTGACAAGCCAAAAGATGAGTTTGGAAGAGGTCAGAACCGGAGATCGAGCGGGAATGAAACATAAAAAAACAAACAACAAGCAAAAACAAAACAAAGGAAAACAGAAGAAAACTCATACTGATACACAGAGACTTCTGAGACATCCTCTAGCACCTGGGTTTTCAACAGGGGGTCCGAACCCCTAGGGGAGTCCTCAAAGTTACTGCAGGGGGGCCCCCAAATTATTGACTGATCATTATTTCAAAGTGTTTTTTCTCAAAAATTTAAATGAACGTCTGAAAATACACAAACATTAACATAAATCCAACATATCATTAGATAAATCTATTATTTGTGATATAAATACATAAATAAATAATATTGTACATGTTATTGTAGGTCCAGTTTAATATGTAAAATCATTTTATACAATATATGGGGGGGTCACTGCTCTGTCTCCCTATCAGCTACAGGGAGCCTTGGCCTGAAAAATGCCCCTGCTCTAGCATTACAATGCTTATCATGTGATCAATTGTTTATTGCAGAGTTCTTTGGTAGTTATTGCCTGTGTCTGTCTTCATAAAGGTTGGTGGACTGTGGGAAAACAATAGAAATAAGTCCACTTCATTGTTCCATCCCTGACAAAGTCATATATGTTGTATTTTTTATAAATACATTAGTTTTCATTGAACCAATCAAATTACAAACACCAAGGACCATCAGGAAAACATCAAATCTCACCTTACCAAATTATACGCAACCAAAAAGATCTTAGACACCTTATTGAGCAGAAATCAGTCACATAAATGTTGAATGCGCCTATACAAATGCACCTTATCTGACCACTGCAGTCAACAAAAAGCTAAGGAAAACCTCATTGAGGTACTGGGCTGGTACTGGGCTGGTTCTCACTGTGATCTTCAAACTGTGCTTCTCTTCCTCATCAAATACAGTAAATATACTGACATAAGACAACCATAGTTACACATTTTCATAATCCAACAATCAAAA